GGACAAGCGGTCAAGTGACTTCAGTCCTGGTCCCTATCTGACTCCAATGTCATGAGACACCCAATAAACTGCTCCTGGATTCTTGGCCCCCAGAAACTACATAAGGTCATTGTTTATTGTTCCAAGCTGCTGACTTGCTGCTGATTGGGGGAAATTTTTTACATAGCACTAGATGGCTAATTCTCCAGGCTTACCTGTGCAGGCAGCACGTCATTAAGTCCCCAGCACGACCTTGGGAGGCACAGACTGGGTTCCTGGGAGGCTCCCAGTTTAGAGATGAGAACCTCCAGGCTCAGGCCCCGGATTCCAACCCTTCCTCTCAGCCCCGCCCCAGGCTCCCTCTGTCCTCTCCCACTTCCCCAAGGAGCAGTAATGCTCCATGGAACCTCCACGGGTGGGGCCACAGGGTACCGTGCACTTGCCCCGATGGGGAGGGCCTAGACTTCCCGTCTCCACCACTGAATCTGCACTGGGTCTCCAGGCTGAGCAGCAGACACCCCGGAAAGCCTGGGGTTCTCACCTGGGACCGTCCGTCCTGCAGGTGGAGAATCTAAAGGCCAAGGGGGGACAGTACTCGCCCAAGGTCAAGGGCTGCTGATGAGCATGGCCTCCAGGAGCTCAAGGCTCATCCCCCCGTCAGGCACCAGTGAGCCTCACAGACCAGACAACAGCAAGAAACAGTAACAATAAAAACAATGTGAGCCCAAGCCTGGGCCCATGACTCGAGGCAGGAGGATTGGAAGTTCAAGGCCAGCCTCTGAAGCTTAGGGAGACCTTGACTCAAAATAAAAAGGACTGGGGAGGTGGCTCAGTGGGTAAGTGCCCCTGGGTTCAATCCCTAGTTTAAAAAAAAAAAAAAATTTAAGTGCTAGGGATTCCCAGAACCCCCACCAAAAAAACATAAAAAGTGACGCGGATCATCTCCTGATCCCTTTCTCTGGGTTTGGCAGTTTCTGACCTAAGGACTTCCAGAGATCATTTGCAGACATCCATCCTTTGCCTTCTGTGCAAAATCTGCAGGCGCACACCCACCTTGGGGACAGGCACGCAGGTGACCCTGTTCTACAGGTGCAAGGCCAGAGCACCTGTTAGGCCCAGGCTGTGCCCTCCTGACCACTGAGCCACAAGGCCAGAGGAGGCTCTCCCTGGAGCCCAGGGGTCCACTCCTCAGAGGAGGAGACCAGACCAAGAGAGGCCCCGTCAACCCTGAGGTGCCGTGAGTGACCTCGTCCAGGCACAGAGCCCCGTCTTCTGAGACCCAGATCCCGGCCCCTCACCTGAAATCTGCCTGGAGGGGAGGAGGCTGCCCCTTCCTTGCGCTCGCTGCAGGCCAGGCCCGTGCCCTGGGCTTCCCAGACTCACCTGACCCAACAGTCCTGGGGCTCGCCACTGTCCTCACTTGACAAATGGAGAAATGGAGGCCGGGAGAGGCCACAGGAAGGACCCAAGGTCACACAGAAAAAAGGGCAGGGTTGGAACCCAGACTGGGTGGCTCCTCCTCAGCCCCTGGCAAGGTTTCCCCGCCCACTTGGATTCAGGACCCTCGAGCCGCGGGACTCCAGGCTGAGGCAGGAGGATGGCGAGTTCAAAGCCAGCCTCGGCAAACTAGCAGGGCCCTCAGCAACCTAGCAGGGCCCTGTCTCAAAATAAAAAGGAAGAAGGACTGGGGACGTGGCTCAGTGCTTAAGCACCCCTGGGTTCAATCATGGTACCAAGAAAAAAAAAAAAGAATGTAACCCCTCTTGGAGCAGAGCATGGGACACACTCCTATGATCACAATGACGTGGGAGGCTGAGGCAGGAGGATGGCAGGTTTGAGGCCAGCCTGGGCAACTTAGTGAGATCCTATCTCAAAACTGAAAAATAAAAAAAATAAATCAAAAGGGCCGTGGCATTTCCTACCATGAGCAAGGCCCTGGGTCCCACCCAGTGTGTGACAGGGACCCTGTGGAGCCTCTCTCTGCACCTGCTGCTGTGCAGCTTCCTCCGTCGGAAAGACAGGAGCCGGCCATGTGGCCACCACTTGAGATGGGATGTGGGAAAGTCAAAGCCCCAGTGCACCGAGGTCCCCACCGAATCAGGTCACCCTTAGGGATCCCCACGTCAGCCATTCCTGGCCACCCGGTCCCCGCGCCCACCTCCCCCGCGTTCCCATCTTCCTTTCCATGTCTGTCCCTCATCCACCTGTTCAAGTAGTATTCAGGCAAATCCCAACACTGAGCCAGAGGCCGGGAAGACATCGGGGTGCGGGAGGGAGGTGGATGCGTGGATAACCCACAGATAAGGAGAAATTCCCAGCAAAGACAAGAAAACAGAGTGGGATCAACCCCCAGAGGCCGCCGGCCGGTCCTTCAGAACCCCTAGGCCCCTCACTGCCTCCTGCAGGGCACAGCCTGGCCCGGGTCCCCAGACGGGGGACAGAACCTCTGTCCCAGGTAGATTATTGAGCTAACCCCGCAGCCTGGGACCTCCAGAGCAGACCCACCCGGCCCTGGGAACAGCTGGGCCTGCTCCCCGGCTCCTGCCTCTTCCCCCTCCCACTCCCTTCCTCTGTCCCCTCCGTCTCTCCTGGGGACACTCACCTTCAGAAAGCAGGGACAGGGCTCTCTTGGTGGCCCAGGTCCTGGAAAGAGTCATCAGACATCAGAGGCTAAAGGAAACAGGTCCCCTCCCATGGGGAGATTTTAAGCCTGGGCCGGGAGTGATGTCATCTGCCGTGGCCTGGATCTCCAGGGTAATCCTGGCCGAGGTGGGGGACTGACTGCACACCAGGAGGTGACATTGGCTGGGAGGAGGAGGGCCACCATGTGCTTAATCCCCTCCCCCACCCCTGACATCTTGGCCATTAGGGCTGACAGAGAAAGGAAGCCCCAGCTCTTGTCTGACCAGGAGACCCCATCACTCAGGGAAGTCCTTCCTTAGGTCTAACTGGTACCCAGCCAGCGTTGGATGTTGTCACAAGAGAGATTTATCAAAAAAGAGAGAAATGGTGGGTGTTCCTGAGAGGTTGTTTGAAAAACAGGGGACACGGGGCTTTCTGGATTCTTCTCCTGGGTCCCTCTTGTCTCCCCAGCAGTCTGCCAACATCTCTTTGCTGCCTCATTGTTTTTCTCCTGCCTCCATTTCCCTTTTCCTCTCTGACCTCAGTGTCTCTGTCTCTCTCCTCCTCCCCCCATCTCTGTCAGTCCCCCACTTGGCCATTTGGTTTGTCCCCCTAAGCCGTGACTCTAGCCTGGTTCCAGGGCCCTGTCCTCCTCCATGCACTGAGCCTCACTCCACCCCATCTGCCCCTCCTCTCTGCCTCTCACTCCAGACACCCCCCATCCTCCTGTCCGTCTCCCTCTAGGATTCCTCCTCTCTGTCCTCTCCATTTCTGGATGTCATTTCTCCCAGTGCTCACCCGGTCTGCTTCCGTCTCCGCACACCCCGTCTCCGCACACCCTGGCACACACCCCGCACCCAAAACCCCTCCTTGGGGCTGGGTCACTGTGTCTCACCATAAGGGCCCTTTCTTCCCCTGGCCCTCCCCCAGGCTCTGCTGGGAGATTAAAGCTGCTGCCTGCCAGGAGGATCAGGCAGGTCTCATTAGCTTGAAGAGCCCCAGATGACAGCAAGAGAGGAGGGGCTCCTGACCCCAGGGACAGCCAGAGGGGGGGCCTCCAGATGGGAGAATGCAGCCCCAGAGCGGATCCTCGGGAACCTCTGGAGTAGGAAGGGGAGGAAGATTGTCTGTGCCGGGAGCAGGGAGGAGACAGGTCTCAGCTGCTCTCAGTCACCTCTCCTGGGATTGCTGGTACTGTTGGTTTTGGGGTCCACCTCTGCCTGGGATGGGGAGTGTGGAGTGTGGCCACTAAGTTCTCAGGATCTCATTAAGTTGCTGAGGCTGGCCTTGAATGTGCCATCCTCCTGCCTCAGCCTCCCCAGTCACTGTGATCACAGGTGTGCACCATTGCACCTAATGCTCCTGGTCATATATTTTATTTTATTTATATATTTTGTGTGTGGGGGGGGGAGTGCTAGGATTGAACCCAGGGCCTTGTGCATGAGAGGCAAGCCCTCTACCAACTGAGCTAAATCCCCAGCCCTGAAAAGTTTGAAACTTTGCTGGAAGCAATTAAAGAAGATCTAAATCACTGGTTAAATATACCATGTTCATGGATTGGGAGACTCACTGTTGTTAAGATGCCAATTCTTGGACTGGGGATGTGGCTCAAGTAGTAGCGTGCTCCCTGGCATGTATGCTGCCCAGGTTGGATCCTCAGCACCACATACAAACAAAGATGTTGTGTCTGCCGAAAAGTAAAAAAATTAATATTAAAAAAAGTCAGTCTCTCTCTCTCTCTCTCTCTCTCTCTCTCTCTCTTTAAAAAAAAAAAAAGCCAATTCTTAGTCAAAGTCTAAGCAAACCAGGTGCCATGATGCACACCTGTCATCTAGCACCTCTGGAGGCTGAGGCAGGAGGAACACAAATTCAAAGTCAGCCTCAGCAAATTAGAGAGGCCCTGAGAAACTTAGCAAGACCCTGTCTCAGAATGAAAACTTCAAAGAGCTGGGGATGTGGCCCAGTGGCAAAGTGTCCCTGGGTTCAGTCCTCAGCACACACATAGAAAAGAAGTCTTGGGGGAAGAAAGAATCTGGACAACTTGCACTACCTCAGACGTCCTGTGATGCTAGAGTCATCAAGACAGTGTGATTCTGTGTCCGGATTTTTAAAAATCTGGTCTTGTCTGAGAAGACGCTTCAGAAACTTTATGCTCAATTGAATTTTTTTTCTTTTTTTTACTTGAGATTTAACCCAGGCACTTAACCACTAAGCCTCATCCCCAGTCCTTTTAATTTCTTATTTTAAGAGAGGCTTTCACTAAGATGCTAAGGCTGGCCTCAAATTTTTGATCCTCCTGCCTCAGCCTCCCAAGTCACTGGGATGACAAGATGGGCCACCCGAACAAGCTTGGCACCTTCTTTCTTTTCTGCTTTTGCCAGGACAGGTACCTGTTTTGTCCTCCACTGGATTCCCAGTGCCTGGGACAGCCCAGACACATGGTAAAGGCTCAGCCAACGTGGATGGAAGGTATGCAGGCAGCAGGCAGAGACACAGGTCTGGGGGCTCAGAAGTTTCAAGACCTGGTTTTGCCACACATCCCTTATGTGACCCTGGGAACCCACAGACCTCTCAACCCCTTTCCTCCCTTGAGAAATGGGCCTCTGCGCCCTGGAGATTGTGGAGGTTGTTCTAAAAGCCCTGTTGCTTGGAGGTCTGGACAGCCCAGGCCCAGGAGCAGAGGCCAGCTCAGCTGTGTCTGCCTCTGGCCTGCTCCGTGGGGCTCCTTTGTAAGAGGGGATGACACGGGGACCCACAGGGTGGGAAGCTTCCACTGGACTCTTGCTCCCTGAGATCTTGTTCCGGAGGCCCTCAGTGCAGTGTCTAGCCACCGGGAGTCCCCACAGCACCTTAGGGTCTGAGTTGCCTGACCCTGGGTGGGCTCTTCCCCAGGGAGGCTCCCTCCCCAGCTCTAGAATGGCCTCATCTTCAGGGACGGAGGTTGTGGCTCAGTGGTAGAGAGTGGGTTCCATCCTCAGCACCGCAGAGAAGTAAACACACAAAATGAAGATATTGCATCCATCTATAACTAGAATAGATTTTTAAACTAAACAAAATAAAGGTATTGTGTCCCTCTGCAACTAAAAAAATTTTTTTTTAAAATGACATCATTTCAAACCCACATAAATACAGTTATCTCCTACCCCCTACCTGGCAAAGGCACCAAAAACATCTATTGGAGAAGAGATAGGCTCTTCAACAATTGGTGCTGGGAGAGCTAGAAATCCATATGCAGCAAAATGAAATCAAACCCCCATCTCTCACCTCGCACAAAACTCTACTCAAAGTGGATCAAGGACCTAGGAATTAAACCAGAGACCCTGCACCTAATAGAAGAAAAAGTAGGCCCTAATCTACATCCTATTGGCTCAGGCCCCGACTTCCTTAACAAGACCCCTAAAGCACAAGAAATGAAATTGAGACTCAATGAATGGGATAGACTCAAATTGAAAAGCTTCTTCTCAGCAAAAGAATCAATCAATGAGGTGAACAGAGAGCCTACGGAATGGGAGGAAATTTTGACCACACGCACATCAGACAGAGCACTAATCTCTAGGATATATATGTAAAGAACTCAAAAAACTAAACACCAAAAAATTAAATAACCTGGGCTGGG